TTAGAATCAGTGCTTCCTGGATTCACAAAGATTCTATTATTTAGCTTTTGCTACAAAATCCTAGCAGTTGCAAGGTGCATGCCGGTGTCGAAGTAGATTTGTTGTCTCACAGGAATTGTCAACAAAATGGTTAGAACATATGCACTTTATTTGTGGTGCATACGCCATTAGTTCATTACTATACAATATGAGAAGATAGTCCACACTCCACAGTCTATTTTTTTCTCTAAATCAGTTGTGTCAGCATCTTGCATGACATGTTCCTACCATTCACTTAAATCTAATTTTGGACAACTGAATGCAGGCTATTTTGCCCCTAAGAGGTAAAATTCTCAACATTGAAAGAAAAGATGAAGCAGCCTTGTACAAAAATGAAGAGATCCAAAACCTTATTCTTGGGCTTGGATTAGGAGTGAAGGTTGCATCCTCTCTTGTTCTCTTATTATGTTTCTTTTTCTTTGCTCTTATCAAATATATTATACTTTAGGGTGAGGATTTTAAGAAGGACGCTCTCCGGTATCATAAGATAGTTATACTTACTGATGCTGATGTTGATGGGGCACATATCCGGACTCTCCTCCTTACTTTCTTCTTCAGATATCAGGTACGTATCAAGAAGCATCTGCAAACTTAAGTACCTCATCTGTTTCATTTATAAGTGTTTACAGATTGAGCAGCCTATACTACTGTTGACATTGTTTTTTTATTTTCTATACAAGATCTGTTGATGGATTGAGTGAATAGGTCTAAATGATAGGGTTTGATTTAGATAATCCTCGCCTGAAAAGTGAAACTAAAATGGTTGATAGTTGGGTTAGAATGGGGTTTGGAGTGAAAAATGCAATATGGCTTAGAATTGGTGTTGAGAACAGGTCAAACCCGAAGGAAAGTCTATGGCTGTTTCTTCATCTGAAAGTCCTTTCAGTACCCTATTGGCAATGTAGAAAAATCCACAAATATCCAAACAGTGTGAATGTGTGATCGCCCTTGCCCCTTGGTCCGAAACATGAATTTTCTTTTCCAGGTGATAATGTGACATGGTATTGATCAAACCCAATTAACCGTTCAGCCCATCAAATGGCTACTGTCTTTCTCAGTATATAGAAGTCCATAGGACTTTGGGGGCTCTGTTGGCGCTTTTCCTTTTAGGGTACTAGGGTCGGGTTTTGGTTTGCACAAGTTAAGTTGAACTAGGTATATAGAATTGGTTAGCAGTTTTTTTTTACTAGCATGTTTGTTTTGAACTTCCACAAAAGATTTTGCTTTGAGCTAGCAACTGTCCGTACCGATGTTGGCAAATGTTTTATACTATTGTCATATTGTGAACAATGAAGGTTTTGATCTCCTTGCTCATACAATTTGCAGAAAGCATTGTTTGATGAAGGTTGCATCTACGTTGGTGTACCTCCTCTTTATAAGGTTGGATTGTGGCTTCAAGTTTAGAAGGCTTGAAGATGAATTGATCTTAATTTTAAGAGTTATCTATGTTGCGGTGTTAGGTTGAGCGTGGAAAACAAGCACATTACTGCTATGATGATGCTGATCTCAAAGAGATAGTTAACACCTTCCCTGCAAATGCATCGTATCATATCCAGAGGTTTAAAGGTACATTTAACTAATGAGCATGAACACTATGAACTTCAAAGAAAATATCCTGGCACATCGAAAATCATATTTCTTGCATCAATGTACATTTTTAATTGCCTCCTATATCATCTTGACAAACCTCTCGAACTGGTACCATAGCCTCCACCTCCATCCGCCAGCTTATTTTTTCTCCATTCACCCCCTGACTGGATTACTATAGTTATGTCGGTTTCAAGTTTTTACATATCCGTGGCTCTTATGTTTCCTTCATCTTTATATTGTATTTGCTTCTCTGGTGTCGCAACAGGTTTGGGTGAGATGATGCCTGCACAATTGTGGGAAACAACGATGGATCCTGAGAGGCGGCTGTTGAAGCAGCTTAAGGTTGAAGATGCTGCTGAGGCCAATGTTGTGTTCTCGTCACTTATGGGTACCCGGGTAAGCAACCGAAGATTCCTGAAAGCACTCCCAAGATAATGTATTTATTCTTCACGTTACTAACTCTCCATATTGCATATTTCCAGGTTGAATATAGGAAGCAACTGATCCAGGAAGCTGCTAGCACGATCAACATAGATCAACTTGACATTTGAAGTTAGGCCGACCTTTCTGTGTATGATATAGAAGATGAACCTGCTGCTGTTCTTACCACTCCAACAGGAATCAAGTGTTGCAGATTTGATACCTTGCCAACATTTTTTTTGGTGGTAGAGTAGCAGAAAACGTAGGGTAGAAACATTGGAACCAGGATGATGAGTCGGGTTTCCTGGCACTCCTAACGGAAACTCTGATTCATTTGTGGCGGTGTTGTAACCATTTTGGCTTGACAGAGTTGAGAGCTCACGGGTGTAGTTCCCTGCTATGGGTTCGGTGCTGCCATTTTTGGCTTGACGGAGTTGAGTGCTCACGGGTGTATTCCCAGCTGTGGGTTCGATGCCTACCATCGTGCCTCTGATACGGTGTAATATGCCTTTATTTATCTCCGAATACTTGCTTTATGATTACGTGTCCCCTTTTTTAATCTGGCAGTAAGTATCTCTATGAACTATGGATTAGTCTGATGTTTCAATCTGTGAATCCGTCATGTTTTGGACGGTTTTAAGCCCAGTTCATATGTGAGCAAATTGCTAGACTACGAAAGTGTGCACTTGCGTGGACGTGTCTGGCAACTGGTTTGGTTTCTTCCACGTTTTATGGCCAGGCAACGGCGATAGCTAGCGGAACTTGTTCGGGAGAATTGGTACACCCTCGTCAACTGGTGGCCCATCGTGCAGACCGAGCGTTGCGCGTTACTCGTACTTTTCGGTTGCTTTGACCGCTCTAGAGGAAAACTGTCACTTTTTATCCAAGGGTTGGTCGTCGGAGTAGTTAGTTATCCTGGGTTCTCGCTGACGGTTTTGGTCCGCTTTTAGAGTTCTCATCACTATAATAACTACTACTGCAATGGGAAATATGCAGCCTGTTCGACAGGGCTTATACGATCGTGGATTATAAGCTGGAACAATATTTTTCTCTCACACCAAACCAGCCAGCAATAAACCCACGATCGTTTACGACGAAACGAACATGCTGATGATTTATTGTGTGGTACTTATACTCTCTGCAACCTTCATCAAACAACTGTACTTTGCCCATAAAAATCATTTTTTGGGAGCATCCAAATTCTCAACTGTCGTATGGAGAATTTCAAGGCCATAAATTCATTTTCAGATTTTCCATATTCTCAACCCCGACAGTTGTTTCTCCATACTTTCATTTATATGGCTTTGTTCGTTTGCTGGTCGTATGCTCCCACAATCACGGGCATGTTCAATCGTTCATAATAAGGCCCCACAAGCTTTAGAAAGAAAGGTAATAAAGCAACCGTTGAGGACAACTCTATCTCCATGTCAAAATAATAAGGACAAAAATGGTAACCCGAATAAACAAGCTAAAGAAATACGCGTCACTCCAGCTGGACATGGGAGGAGACCGGCTTCATTTATACACACATGTCAAAACCAAAGATTTGACCAGTTTTCAGAATTCCATGAGAAAATTGATCAGTGCACACCAAACTGTACCTAGAAAATTGATCATTTATTTGTGTGTAGACTGTGGAGCAAGCATGTCGTGATGCACTAAGAACAGGATGCTTTAGCATGAGAGTTTCAAACGTCAGTTTAACTTCATAATGTATTGAAAGAATGAATTGTACTCTTGGTTGAATTTGGGTCAAACCATCATTGTATACCTTCGTGACTATGCTCAAATAAATCTTGAACATGCATTTTAAATATTTATTCAAATAAACTATATTTTATAGCAAGCAAGTTCAGGGCATTTACAATGCAGAAATTAGGACTAATTTCTACTATGTATCAAGAAACTATCTATCACAATGCAACTATTATATCCTTGGGTCTTCCAACAATTCATCACTTCTCTCCTCCGGATCCTCTGCTCCTGCTATCTTCCTCCTCTCTCACCACCACACACGCAACACAGCTGAGCTCACGCGAACGGCGAACCGCCATGGAACTAAAAAATCCAGCCGCACGCCACCCACATCCCATGGCGGCCACCGCGGCCGCGGCAGGACTAGGTCCTCCTTCCTCTCCTGACGTCGCAGTCACAGCACCGCCTCCTCGTCATTCCGCGCAGCTGCCTCACGCTTCCGCTCGCCGTTAAGCATTGGTCTCGTTGTGGGGCTTCCTGATTGATGTGCGATGTCTGTGAAGTGTGAGTTCTTGTGTTTTTTGTTGTTGTTTTTTGGTGTGCGCAGGGATGTTGTGCAGCACCGAGCGCCTCAACTGCGGCCGGGAGCTTGACGTGCTCGCGGCTGGATCTGCTAGTCGGCATTCGTGCGGATGGACTCTCACGGTGTGGCTGGCTTTAGTTAGAAACCATTTCTTGCGGTTTTCTTCTCTTTTCTCATTAAATCAAGTGCCGCATCAGATTTTTGCTTATGTGTTCATTTAATTCATATATAAACTACCCTGGTACTTCGTTGGAAGTGCCCTCATCACTGCTCAGTTCGGAACGCAGAAATATCTCACAAATGTAATAAGATCTGGTGCGATTTCAATGGTGGTATATCGCCAAATTCCTACGTGTTGGACAAGCCATAAACCTTTCTTCATTGGTAAATCTAGCAATTACGAACACAAGCTACACTACTCCTAAATACACCCGTCACTACGTCAGTCAAAAACGAGCGCGTGCGCAGTCGCGCGTGTAGCGCAGTGGCAAAGCTCCGGTGTGGGAGCTGGCCGGCCGGTACCCAGACGAGAGGCAAAAAAACGAGCGCGCACGACTTCCCCGTGGGGACCCGGTTCCGCCTCCGCTGGGACCCGTCCCGCGGCGGCGAGGTCTCGCTGTTCAGGGTTCCTTCTCCTCCAGGCAACGGCGACGGCGCGGCGGCGCGCCGCGCGATGTGGGAGACCGTCCCCGGCGTGGCGTTCCTCTCCGCGGCCTCCGCCGCCACCGAGGCCGACGAGTGCCGCGGCTCCTTCGCGCTCCGCGACCACCGCGCCCGCCTCGTCCCCGATCGCCAGCACGTCGATAGGATCAAGGCTTCCTACCGCTGCGACGCCGCCGAGGCAGGCCCAGGCGGCGCCGACCTGCTGCGCGCCGCAGCGTTCGAGCCGTCCGACGCGACGCTGTTCCCGGTGCTGGTAATGACCGGGCTGGTATCCGCCAACAAGACGGGCGCGTCGCCGTCGTGTACCTGCTGCAGGCTGCGCGCAGCAGGTCGCCGCGCCCGGAGCGCGGCGGGGAGGCCGGTGCTCTTGGCGCGGTACTGGATCGTTCTCGAGGAGAAGAGCGACACGCAGGTCGCGTTCAGCGTCAAGATCGGCGACTACCAATGGACCTGCGCGCACGCTGACCCTGCCAAGTCGACCCCGGCGACGGCGACGACCACGACGGCCCCGAGGCTCCACCGGCCCAGCCTGCGCCTTCGTCTTTCGGGGCGCGTTCAGCGAGGCACGAGCAAGAAGACGAGGCTGGCCCCGACGACCCCGAGCCGCGAGGAGGTGTCGGCGGCACTCCTGCCAGGTCCCGAGAGGGCGGAGGAACAGCGGCCGGAGGAGTTCAACCGTGTGTTCCTGACGTACGCGAGCAGCCGTGACGAGCGGTTCTTCGGGTTCGGCGAGCAGTTCAGCCGCGTGGAGTTCAAGGGGAAGTGGGTGCCGGTGCTGGTGCAGGAGCAGGGGTTCGGCAGGGGAGACCAGCCCATCACTTTTGCCGCTAACCTCGTCAGTTACAGGTGCGATTCTTTTCTTTTTTCCACGGCTCGTTACAGCTGCTTGCCACACCAAACTTTGGAAAATTCAATTAGAGCCCTTTGCTTCTTATTAGTCTGATAACGCTGTACATAAGTTGGACTTCTGCTTGTACAGTCTGCGAAAATATCCACGCAATTTCTAGCAACCTTTTCGCAAACGGCAGCACTAGCGCCTGCACCGTCCGGATCCCCCTCGTCCGGACGCCCGCGCCTACTGCAACGTCCACGCCAATGCTGGCTGCACGCACAGGTGATGCCTGCTCGCGCCACTTCCTCACGCTTCCCTGCTTCCCACGGCCCTCTACGCCTGCTGTGCCGCTCTCCTCCGCACACGGCGCCCTAGCAGCTGCATCAGGCGGCAGCGGCAGGTGGCTTACATTGCAAAATGCACACACCTCGATCTACTTTTGAAACATCAAACAGAAACAATTGCAACAAACGTATGAAACAGCTCAAACATTCGAAACATGCGTCCGAAGCATATGAAAAACAGTTGAGCAACAATTACAAACATATGCAACATCCAGATAAAACACTTGCAACATATGTATGAAACATATGCAACATTCAGATAAACACACTTAAAATATACATCAGAAAAAACAGATGAAACATTGTATACAAACACTTGCAACATATGTGTACAATTACTACAACATATGCAACATCCCAGATGCACGTGAAACACTTGAAACATACATACGAAACACCTGAAACACTTGAAACATGCGCTCGCAACCTGAGAAAGCCCGAGGCCGAACGATTTCAGCCGTCGGGGTCGGAGCTAGCGCCGCGCGAGCACTACCACCACCACCATCGCTAGCAGCACCGGACTTTGACTCGGCCGAGTGGGCGGCGCGCGCGACGGGCAGGAGCGAGCCGCGCTGGATGGGCGAACGCAAAGCGAGCAGCGCAGGATGGGCGTGCGGCGTCCAGATGGGAAGACCGCGGCTGGATAGCTATGCAAGTCGAGGACGGGAATACGCCTGGACGAACGTCCGCGTGCCAGCATTTTCGTTTTGCAAGGAAGGATAGCTATGCAAGTCAAGGCCTGGACCAGGCTGCAAGCATGGGTGGGCAGATCGATGTCTGACCAAGCTTATCCTGTTATCTTGGTCTTGCCACTTTATTGCAGCCATTGATGAACCTGCAACGTACAAGGATTCACCTCCCTCGGCTGATCCGCTCAACAGTGGATTTTGGATGGTTTTGGATGATTGAATAGTGTTATGTGAGGAAGAATAAGCTAGAATAAGCTGGGACATGACCAGCCAAATGGGGTAATGTGTGGCTTTGAAACGAACAGTTTCAGCAAGGAACTGTGATCTTTTTTTGTTTTTGTTTTGAAGCTTTACCTCGTGTGAAGTGGAAACTGGAAACTCATCACATCGATAACGAATGCCCCAGTTTCTTGTGCGTGTGTGCTTGCGATTCTATACCTTTATAACAGTATACTTATCTACGGGAAGGAAAAACATGAGGAAAGAAACGCTTGAACTTATCAACCTAGCTTATCAGCATACAATGTTTTTTTATCACAACAAAACAGCATCAGCCGGCTTATCAGCCGTAAAAATCATCAGCCGAATAGCTCGGTTCTCTTTTCGTTTTCGACAAAAACGCACTAGTGCGGTTGTGTATTTCTCAAGGGTAGAATGCCTGTCCTGACTGTTTTTTTCCCAGATAATGGAATGGCATTATCCCGAACTCTGCAGTATTTTTTGTTATGTACAGTAGGATTCAATTCAACTGGTGCCAACTTTTTGTTTGACTTTAGTGTGTCCTTGCTGGTGGTTTTCTGTAGGTCAGGAGGAAACTGGAGCACGACATACGCTCCCTCTCCATTCTACATGACCTCAAAGATGAGCCCTCTGTACCTTGAAGGATACGACTCCTCCATCTTTGACCTGACGAGACCTGACAGAGTGCAGATTCAGGTAGGCAGCCATTTCAACAGGACAACGAAACCTATAAAGCAACAGTTGCTTTTCAGATTTATGGCAATTCAGTCCAGGGACGGATACTAGACGGCGACTCACCGACGGACCTGCTCACCAGCTACACGGAGTCAACCGGACGGCCGCCGGTTCTTCCCAGGTGGATCACGTCCGGTGCCGTCGTCGGCATGCAGGGTGGCACAGACACCGTCCGCAGAGTTTGGGACCAGCTGAAGGACTACGACGTCCCAGTCTGCATTCTGGCTGCAGGTCTGATGAGAAACTGACGGTTCATGATATGCTTTGTGCCTGACTGACGCACCCTGAACTGGCTCTGAACTGCTTGCTGCACATTGGCAGGATTGGGTTGGCCAGAGGAAGACAGCGATCGGATCCCAGCTCTGGTGGAATTGGGAGCTTGATGATGCCCATTACAGTGCATGGAAGGATCTTGTAGCTGACCTTCGCAGCCACGGCATCAGGACCACGACTTACTGCAACCTTTGCCTTGTGCCGGTACGTTCGTTCACCGATCATTCCAAAGAGGGTTCAGGGTAATGTGCAAGGTGTTCTGAATTTTGTTTGGAAACGTTGGCTTGTTCTTGTTCAGATGGATGAGAAGCCAAACACGAAGAGGCACCTGTTCGAGGAAGCCAAGAAGCTGGGCATCCTGGTGAGGGACGAGGCCGGCGAGCCGTACATGATGCCCAACACGGCGTTCGACGTCGCCATGCTCGACTTCACCAACCCGGAGGCGCACGCCAGGTTCAAGAGCATCGTCCTGCGGGGGGTGGTGGACCATGGCGTCAGCGGCTGGATGGCTGACTTCGGCGAGGGCCTGCCTCTGGACGCGCGGCTGCACTCCGGCGAGGACCCCGTCGCCGCGCACAACAGGTACCCGGAGTTGTGGGCGAGCGTCAACCGCGAGTTCGCCGACGAGTGGAAATCCAGCAGCCGTCGCGCCGCGGAGACGGCGGAGGAGGACAACGACGTCGACGACGACGGCCTGGTGTTCTTCGTGCAGTCGGGATTCCGGGAGAGCTCCCGGTGGGCGATGCTGTTCTGGGAGGGCGACCAGATGGTGAGCTGGCAGGCGAACGACGGCATCAAGAGCAGCGTGGTGGGCCTGCTCAGCGGCGGCCTCTCGGGGTTCCCGCTCAACCACAGCGACGCCGGCGGCTACTGCACGGTCGACCTGCCGCCGTTCCTGCGCTACCGCCGCAGCGAGGAGCTCCTGCTGCGCTGGATGGAGGTGAACGCCTTCACGGTCGTGTTCCGCACCCACGAGGGGAACAGACCGGGCTCCAACTGCCAGTTCTACTCCAGCGGCCGCACGCTGGCGCACTTCGCGCGCTGCGCCAAGATGTACAAGGCCTGGGAGTTATACCCCGCGCGGCTCGTCGGGGAGGCCGCGCAGACGGGGCACCCCGTGGCGCGCCACCTGTTCCTGCACTACCCGGCGGACGAGCGCGTGCAGGCGCTCACGTACCAGCAGTTCCTTGTCGGGACGGAGATGCTGGTGGTGCCGGTGATGGACAAGGGGCGGACCGCGGTCACCGCCTACTTCCCGGCAGGCGCTGGTGCGTGGAGGCACGTGTGGAGCGGCGACGAGTACGGAGCCGGGGTGCAGGGCGGGTTCGAGGCCCAGGTGGAGGCCCGGGTGGGTACCCGGCCGTATTCGTCAGGGCTGGGTCGCCCGTCGGGGAAAGATTTGTAAGCAACTTGGGAGATCTCAAGCTGTTGTAATTTGGGTCAACTGTACAGTAGTAATAGTAGATTGCTAGTTTGTTCACATTTCACAGGGTAAAGAGGATGTAATTCAGGGTGGTTTCGGATGGAAAGAACTTGGGTTACTCAGTATGTTTGTTGCAAGTTGAAAAATCATATAATTCCTAACTCGGTACTCAACATTTTGCCTTCCATCATCGACATACAATTTGTAGAGATCTTCGGTTGCTACTAACCATTTGCAAACCTGGGCTACTTTCTCTTCAGAATTCTTCACTAGATTGCGCCCAAATAAATTGCGCTCTCCTACTTCCGGCCAATTTAATGGAGTTCGACATATTCATGCTTACTTGATATCTATTTTTGTAAGCAAATTCAACGAAAGGCAAACATATGACTCAGCTTCTGCTATACATGATAGCACAAGCTCTAAGTATGTCTTCTAAGATTTGGTTGACACTTTCAGTATGGCAACTAGCTTGAGGGTGATAGGCAGTACTAAAGATGAGAATTGTGCCCATTGCTGTGTGCAAAGCGCTTAAATTGAGGACCATGATTTGACACTATTGTCTTGGGTACTCGGTGCAAACACACAATCTTGTTCAATACATATTGGGCAAATAAGTAGTTGGTCTTCACAGGAAGAGAGTGAGATAGTTTAGTGAGATGGCCTACAATAACCCAAATTGAATTATATCCTGAAGATGTCCTTGGTAATCCAGTTATGAAGGGCATGGATATATGTTCTCACTTCCATGCCAGAATTGGCAATGGTTGGAGAGTTCTGGTCAGCTTAAGATGTTCAGGCTTCACCCTACAGCACGTATCACATCTCTATATAAACGTGGGGGTTGGTGCAGCTAGATTTCCCTGTATTGCAGTTGAAACAGACAACTGGAACATTACACCTCCTCCCTCCTGAGCTACCTCCTTACCTCCCTAGCATGTAATATTGAAGAAATAACAGATATAAACAAGACCAGTAAATGTTCCTTGTACATATACTGACTAATATATCATCATGACTGAGTAGGTTGTTTTGGAATTCTTAATCATACCCTTTCTTCTTAAAAAAATTCCATACAAATTTCAGAGCATCAAATTCAGAAGGAAGCACAAGCGTTGTTTTATTTGCACACCATATACATTTGACTAGCCTAGTCATTTGTCAAATTGGCTTATTGGAAATCCACCTTGTGAACATGGCGAAGCATCTCTCGGGCTGGAATTCAGGTGCAGTGTGTCCTCCACCCTGGAATTAAAATTATTAGCTTATGCATTATTGTGATCTCACGATCAAGCTATCAATACATTATTATATATATGTTTTGAGCAGTTACAGGATGACACAAACAACAATTACTAACTAGAATTACTATATATTCTTCAGTTTAGTATAATAAGCGGTCAGGTTTTCTTCCTATCGCATCTCTTGCATATGAATCTATAGTCCAACTGAAAAGTGGTTGTGTAAGGGGCCGGTTGGGAGGGGGGCCCTAGGCGGCGGCTAGGGTTGGGGAAGGTGTGGGCGTCGGGCAGAGGGAGGGAGGTGGTGACAGGGAGAGGGGCAGGAGGCGCTGGGAGAGGGAGAGAGAGGAAGGATAAGCCTGAGGCTGTTCTTTCTTGATCTCAATGATTACATTGCCTCTCTATTTATAGTCCTGAGTAGATATGTATCTTAAGTAATCTAATGAGGGAAGTCCTTATAGATTTGGACTCCTCCCTATCTATCTAATCTAAACCGATCATATTCCTATTCTCTTTCCTTTATTCAGGATCCTTCGGATATGGATAGTGGAGCGGCGGGAGGCCGCCCTTGCCATGTGCCCCCCCTCCTCAGGTGGCGCGGCTGGACTAGGCCCCTCCTGGGCCCTCCATCAGACGTATGACATCACTTCCCCCTTCTCCGATCAGCACGTCTTCGCGTTGAATCATTGCCCAATCTTTGACGCCAAGGTATTTCTGCAATTTGAACCGTGAGGTGCCCCATCGTGTCATTGAATTGGTTGGTGCTGATGTGGTAGTCGAAACCGAAGTAGTAACGGCAGGAGCCGAAGTAGCTGGAGATGTAGTAGCTGTTGGTTCCTTCGCCTTCCATTGGTTCATGGGTGCAACGTGCAGCATAGATGATGGCGCCTGGAATTGTTCCTGGTAAGTGTAGCATTTGCATGACCCGTGGAGGTCGTGGAAACGAGTATACCTGTCCTGCATCAACCTGTCCCATGATGCACCTGCACAATGCTGTTGCCACTATGGTCGGTGGTGTTGTGATGAAGTGTTGTAGAGTGCCGAAGAGGAGGTCGCCCTGTGTCATAGTTGGTCGGGGAGACGAGCGGGTGACTGTCGGCGTGTTGCCTGCTGATGTAGATGTCCTTGATGGAGAGGAATTGTTGGCCGTTGTTGTCGAAGAAGACAATTGTTGCTGATGGTAGTATGTGTTGTGGCCATTCTTCGAGTAGTAGGATGCTCGAGGGGAAGGCATGTGTTGTTGGTGTAGACGTCACCGAGTGGAGGACGACTGCTAGGAGATGCGGAGACGTAGTTCCTAGCGACTCGAGTAGGTCCTGCAGCATGGGTGAAGTCACCGGGATGTAGTAGCGGTTGCTGTAGCGGACGATGCCGTGTTGGAGGGATCAAGCTGGTGCCGCTCCCTGAACTTCAATGGTGGCGGAGATGATCTGGAGCTCTTGCTCATCCGTGGCTACAAGTCGGAGCTGTGCGAGGATGGCGTGGTTGGTGTCGCTGTCGATGTCGGCGGCCGCTCCGGTGTTGTAGCCAACTGGTGGAGGGAGTGCTGTAGGAGGTGGAAGAGCCAGCTCCCGATCCGTTTCATTGTTGGGGATGTCAGCTTCCTGTCCTGGTGTGTGATTGGAGTTGGTGCCGATGTCGGGTGCGGCTCACTCTGCGTCGGCGGTGGTAGGCGGGATATGCTCCAGGGTACGTGTGAGGTTGATGGCCGTCTCCATCTCGCGTGGGTGGTGATTTGCAACCACCGTTCGGAATGCATGTTGAAGGCCGGTGACGAAGAGGTTGACTTGATGAGGCTCACTGGTGATGCCGACATGTAGAGCGTAGGTGATGAAGTTGTCGATGTAGTCGTTCACGGTGCCGACATGCCTGGGTGGTGCGAGGTCGCCGATGGTGTCCCGGTAGATAGATGGGCCGAAGTCGCAGATGAGGCTTCGGGAGAAGAACGCCCACTCGGTCATAGGTGAATCCTTCGTTGTGCGCATGAACCATCTATGCGCTGCCCTTGTCAGATGAAAAGCAGCGTACCAGATTTGTTGAGTCTCCGGTAGACGGTAAAACTAGGAGAGTTGTTGCATCTGCGAAAGCCATATCCTTGGGTCCGTCGAGCCATCGTACGTGGGGGTTGTGAGCCGAGCCCTGACGGGTTGCTGAAGCTGCGATGGCGCTAGCATTGTTGACGGGGTCGGAGGCAGCGGTATTCCGGGTGCATGGACCTGCTGAGTAGGCAGCCGGATGGCTGGTTGTTGCTGTGGTGGTGGTGATGCCTGGGTCTGCTGGGCGGTCACCGGGCTCGGTAGTTGGTGCCGTGCTGCTAGTGGAGTTGCGGCCGGCGGCGTTCTCGGCGTGGGCTCCTGCTGGTGGTCGTCCGGAGCTTGCTGGACAGCTGGCGGTTTGTGCCGAGTTGTCGGCGGAGTCACGGTCGACGGTGTTCCCAGCGCAGGCTCCCGTTGGTCGTCGTCCGGGGCTTGCTGGATAGCCGTGCGGATGACCGAGGGCCCGTCAAGCGGTGGGAAAAGCTGTGGTGGTGGAGCCGAAAGCAGGCTGTCAGATACCGGTAGGATGATCTCTGTAGCGTTGGCAGACTAGGGTTCGTTCATCTTGCGCTTGAGGTATGATTTGCTAGCGGCTATCATGACTCTCTTGGTTTCCGCTGTAAGGTCGTCGATGGCGGCTTCCTGATCCAATCTAGCTTGGACATCGGTGATGCCGGCGTCGCCCTGGATGTGTGCCTGCTCGATAGCATGCAAACACTTGTCGAGGGTGACGAGTTGGCGATGCTCTCCTCAAAGTTCTTGCGGAGATCGACGACAAGGTTTTGGATCAGCTGTTGCATGGTGGAGGTGGTGGAGTCCATGGATTGTCTAGTCTCCAGATACCAGTGTAAGGGGCCGGTTGGGAGGGGGGCCCTAGGTGGCAGGCGGCTAGGGTTGGGAAAGGTGTGGGCGTCAGGCAGAGGGAGGGAGGTGGCTACAGGGAGAGGGGTAGGAGGCATTGGGAGAGGGAGAGAGAGGAAGGATAAGCCTGCTGTTCTTTCTTAATCTCAATGACTATATTGCCTCTCTATTTATAGTCCTGAGTAGACTTGTAAGTCCTTATAGATTTGGACTCCTTCCTATCTATCTAATCTAAACCGATGCTATTCCTATTCTCTTTCCTTTATTCAAGATCCTCCGGATATACATAGTGGAGCAGCGGGAGACTGCCCTTGTCGTGCACGCCCTCCCGCCACAGGTGGCGTGGCTGGCCTGGGCCCCTCTTGGGCCCTCCATCAAACGTATGACAGGTTGTCACAATATAATAACGATGCCGTTTCATATTTCCCATTCAAACTCTTTGCGGACATATTTGAGATCAACTGATGCCAGTCCTGAAATTTGATATACTCTTAAGCCTGAACTGATGGAGTATATCAATTACGGCAAAAGGAAAAAAACAGATATTACATGACCTTTGACCTCTTGTCTCCCATGAACACCTCCTATTAAGAGTATAGCAAAAAGTAGGCAATATATGTTGCTTTAAAAAAAATGGCAATACCGGTATATACGCTAGTATGGAGAAGATTTTTGGAGATAGGTGTTTTTTTATTTTCAGAGACGGGCATTTACAAAGATGGTCGGCATTGCCGGTCTCTGTAAATCAATTAAAAGATGTAGGCACCTTAAGATGTCCGTCTTTGTTAATGCATGAGAAATATGTGAATTTAAAAACTTCAAAATGCTTTCAAGATCGTTTGGA